TTTGTTAAGTTCTGTTATTTGAATATTATAGGTGTGTAAACTCAGCAAAATATTCTAAAAGAGTCCAGTAGCCCATAATAGTATTGGGTCTTCCATTTGACTGGCAGTGTCAGAAATTGTTGACTTGAGTCCCCCACAGCTCAACATAGCAGCATGGCTTTACTTCTTATATTTCGTTTTTATACTTTTCTGCTGGATGGTTAAGATCAAGGTAAAGCAAGACCTATGCAACAAGAGTTGTAGCTTTTGGGTCTGATAAGGTCAGTGAAATCCCCTCAGGATTTATCCTGAGATTCTGTACCTCAGATTGTAGAACCTTTGTCAGTGTCAGCCATGTGGATGAGTCATGGCCATTGCTTGGCCAATGGAGCACAAGTATTTTAAAGCACAATTAAATCGAGATTAACAAGAAAACTAGATCAAGTATTCCCAGGAAATTTCATTTTCCTGATATAAAGGCAAGCAAATTCATAGTACAAATTCATAGTAAAGGAAGTATAAGATGTGATCCTGGGAACAAGGGAACTTTATCAGCTTTACCAAAACTATTTCAGATTTGCTTCTGAAAATCTTTTTCTTTAGCAAAGTATGGTTTTTTGTTTTGTTTTTTTTTAGGTAATGGGGATTGGACTCAGGGCCTTCACAATGAGCTACATTCCCAGTCCTTTTTAACTTTTGAGGCAGAGGCCTATATTTCCCACTGCATTCAAACTTCAGATCCTTCTTTCTCTATCTCCCAGAGTGCTAGGATTATAGGCATGTGCCACCACACCTGGCTTTACCACAACATTTAAAAGAAAAATAAAGTGATGGATCTTTCTTTTTTGTTGTTGGTGTTTTGAGATAGAGTCTCCCTATGTATTACAGGCTGCCTTGAACCTGCTATCTAGTCCAGTTGGGGCTCAAACTCATGGTGAGCCACTGTGCCCAGCCCTCTTTCTTAATTTTGACTTGTCTTGGGGACATGACAGAATCTGATTCCCTTTGTATGATACTATAGACAGTTAAGAAATGCACCGAGGGTTGGAAGTTTAGCTCTGTTGAAGAGCATCTGCCTGGCATGCATGATCTCTAGCACTAACAGAAAGAAAACAGAAAGAAAAAGGTTGAATCTCTCAGATCAGACAAGGGTATTTAACCCCAGGAAACTTTTCCCTGAAGAAACCCCTTTGGTAGCTTATTTGTTCTTTCTGCTAAAAAAAAAAAAAAAAGAAAGCAATAAAAATATAGTGTTAATTGGTTTCCAAGTAATGCAGCTTTTGAGGAACTACTTAACACAAATATTTTAAAAACATGTATAAAACTCTCCTTGCATTGGTAGGAGTAACCTGCTAGAGGAGCCTTATCTAACCATTTAAATCCAGAAAGGCCAATATGGGCAAGCATTTAATGCTCATTTATTTTTGGTTTTGCCTTACTGAATAAATTGGACTATTATTTTACTGATCATGAAAGTAATGTGTTCATTATAAATTCAAACAAGTGAATATAAAAAGGTCCACATACTATCTTCTGTCTCCAATCCCCAATATTAAGGCTGTTGTTCTTTTAAAAAAGAAGTAGCACAACAATTCTTTTACTTTTTCCACTTATCTTATGTATTACAGTTGTTTTTAGGATGCTTTCTGTAATAATTGCATAATATTTTGCTATATGAATGTACAATAATTTATTTAGTTGCCTAGGTTTTCAAATTTTACTAGTACCACATGTTAAATGAAAAGCATTAGAATAAAATTTATTTATTTAATATTTATTTAGTACTTCTGGTGTGCCAGACTATTAAATATTTTACATAATTCAGTCAATGTTTTATTGGTTATTTGGTCTTGTTATGCAGTTCAGGCTGGTCTTCAACTCATGGCAATTAATCCTCAGCCTCCCATGTGCTGGGATTATTTAGTCAATGTTTTATTTTTATTTTATTTATTTTGTATTTAGTACAGGGTCAACAGGGTCTCACTACACAGATCACACAGATCGAACTCATAGTGATCCTCCAGTGTTCAGCCTCCCAAGTGCTGGGATTACAGGCATGTGCCACCACGCCCAGGCTCATTTGCCATCTCAGCCCACCCTGAGTGCGGGGCCAGCAGGGCATGCCAGGAATCAAAATCCGGACCCTGCCTCTGCATAAGCAGGCACTTTAACCTGCTGAGCTATCTGGCCGGCCCTTAGTCAATGTTTTATACCTTATATGTAATATTCCATTTTGTATACAGTATGGAATAAGGAAATGGGAGTACCGGAAGCTTAAGTTTATTTGATGATTTCTTTTGGATCAATCATTAGAAGTTGAACTGGCTGGCTTACAGTACTGATATTTAAAGTCTGGATATATTAAGATTAGCCTCTAGAAATGTAGCAGCAATGAACACAAATCAAGAATTTATGTAGGTGCCCTTTTCCTACACCCTTACTAGCACTGCACATGATGATATTTTAAAAAACCACGTCAAGGCTGGGGTGCAGCTCAGTGGTTGAGCAATTGCCTCTAGTAGGCATGAGTCCCTGGGTTCAATCCCTAGTGCTGAAACAAAACAGAAAACATCAAGACTTTCATCAACTTGAAATTTGTTTTCATGCTTGATACAAGACAGGATTTTTTTTCCTCCCTCTTGCCTCCTTCTTGGATAGTCAATTGTCCCAATACTACTTATTGAATCTGTTGTTTTATTTGATTTTACAGAAATGAAAGAAAAACCCAAAGTAGAAGAACCAGAAGTGCCAGCAATTCCACATGTTCCTCAAGAGATTGGTCCAGAAAATGATGTGTATAACTATGTTTTGTTTTAACAATGTTCAACCATAAAGTTGTAATCCAGTGGAATATACATCTTAATATTTTGTCTTTTTCGCAAGCTATTGTAGAAATAGCTATAATTTTCATTAATAATTTAACTTTGTCTTTTTTCCTTTTACAGAACATACTTGAGAGGACTAACATTTTTTTAAGGGTCTAAAGCAGATAATATCCTTTGTGTGTGCATGTGTGTCTGTGTGCATGTGGGTGTGTATATGTGTATGTGGCAGGGGAAGGG